CACCTCTCAGGTTCAAGTGATTCCCTGCCTCAGCCTCCCAAGTAGTTGGGATTACAGGTGCCCACCACCACCTCTGGCTAATTTTTTTGAAGTTTTTAGTAAAGACAGGGTTTCACCATGTTTACCAGGCTGGTCTTGAACCCCTGACCTCAGGTAATCCTCCCACCTCGGCCTTCCAAAGTGTTGGGATTACAGGCATGAGCCACCACACTTGGCCAATCTTGTTTTTCTTTGTTTTTCCTTTTTAAGAGGCAATTTTGTTCTGTCACCCAGGCTGGAGTGCAATGGCAGGATCTCAGCTCACTGCAACCTCCACCTCCTGGGTTCAAGTGATTCTCCTGCCTCAGCCTCCTGAGTAGCTGGGATTACAGGTATGTGCCACCACAGCTGGTTAATTTCTGTATTTTTAGTAGAGAAGGGATTTCACCATGTTGGTCAGGCTGGTCTCGAACTCCTGACCTCAGATAATCCACTTGCCTTGGCCTCCCAAAGTGTTGAGATTACAAGCATGAGCCACCACGTCTGGCCAATCTTGTTTTTTTTTTTAATTTTTAAATTTTTAATTTTTTTATTACTGCATAGTATTTCATGGTATATATGTACCACATTTAGAAAATACAATTTGTCATTGATGGGCATTTAGGTTAAGTTCATGTCTTTGCTGTTGTGAATAGTGCTGCAGTGAACTTTCATGTACATGTGTCTTTATGGTAGAATGATTTATATTCTTCTGGGTATATACTCGGTAACGGGATTGTTGGGTCAAATAGTAGATATGTTTTTAGCTCTTTGAGGAATCACCACACTGGTTTCTATAATGATTGAACTAATTTACACTGCTGCCAACAGTGTATAAGTGTTCCCTTTTCTCCACCACCTTGCCAACACCTGTTATTTTATTTATTTATTTATTTATTTATTTATTTATGACATGGAGTTTTGCTCTTGTTGCCCAGGCTGGAGTGAAATGGCACAATCTCGGCTCACTGCAACCTCCACCATCCCAGGTTCAAATGATTCTCCTGCCTCAGCCTCCTGAGTAGCTGGGATTACAGGCGCGTGCCACCATGCCTGGCTAATTTTTGTATTTTTAGTAGAGACCGGGTTTTGCCATGTTGACTAGGCTGGCCTCAAACTCCTGACCTCAGGTGATCCGCCTGCCTCAGCCTCCCAAAGTTGCTGGGATTACAGGCATGAGCCACCGTGCCTGGCCCCAGCCTATTTTTATCTAACCACTCTAGATAAAGAATGCCGCTCATTTCTTATGTATGCTTTCTGTGTTTCTTTTAGCCCAAATGAGCAGAAACGTGTGTATCTCCTTCTTTCTCCATCCGTTGTTATAGGAAAGCTAGCAAACTGTGGACACCCCTTGCTCCTTTGCCTTTTTCACTTAATGCTATATCTTGGAACTCATTCCTTACAAACGCATACAGAGCGCGGCCATTCTGTGTTGCAGCTGCACAGTGCTCCATTTTGTGGCAGTGGTGTATTGTTTTCCACCACTCTCCTACGTATAAGCATTTAGGCCGTTTCCAGGATTTTGCAATTACAAACCATGTTGCAATATGCTTTTTTGCATATATGTTTTTGCAATGTTGGAAGTATGACTTCAAGCTAAATCCTAGAGTTAGGACTGCTCAGTCAGAAAGTTAATACATGCGTCATTTGGTTAGATATTGCCAAATTCGGCCAGGTGCGGTGGCTCAGGCCTGTAATCCCAGCACTTTAGAAGACTGAGGCAGTAGGATCACTTGAGCCCGGGAGTTGGAAACCAGCCTAGGCAACGTGGCGAAACCCTGTCTCTATTAATTTTTTTAAATGATATTGCCAAATTCCTATCCAAAAAGACTGTATGTCTTCATGACTACCAGCAATTTGTGAGAGTGCTTCAAGTATCCTTTTAAACAAGAAGTGATGTTTCCAGAGCGTTAAAACTGAAGTAATTTCAAAACCATGTTGTGCAAGATGGCTCACACAAACAGGTGTGTACTTAATGGACCAAGCTAGTTCAGCTGACATGCCGTCTTCATTAGGAACAGTGTGGAGACTGAAAAACTAATTTAGCCTAGAGCAGCTATTCAATTGTAAAGTCTTCTTTCTCAAATATTGATTTACTACGTGAGGAAGTATTTACTTTGTATAGAAGCACATGGAATGGACGCAGGGGTTGACCCACATATGTGGTTTGGTGGACACATATCCTCATCACAGAGGGTGTAATGAAGATAGTGGTTCAGCAACATGAGAAAGGGAAAAAAGGGAAAGACGGCAGAGGTGGCCTCCCACGCATCCACTCCCACTCCTCTTGTTAACGATTCACAATTTGTTGTTAGTGTCATCTACTGTTCTCCACACCTTTCCACAGAGCCTATATGCTTTGAAAGAATTTGTCTCTGCTCCAGATAGACATGGGCACAAGGCTCAGGCCTAAGATAACCAGACCAATCTCATTCCCTGACGCTTGTTAATGTTCCACATGTGGACCCACTGCTCTAGGTAGAGAAGAGGCCAAGGTAGAGAATATGAATCTGACAAGTGAAAAGAAATTAGGTACTTGGTTGCCTAATCAAGCCTCTGCATTAAACTAACCTTGAAGCCTGTCTTGCCTTTGGACTTCTAGTGATGTCACCGGTAAAGCCCACTTATTGTTTCAGTAAATAAGAGTTGGGTATTCTGTGACTTGCAACCAAAACCATTTTAATTTACAAAATGAGCAACTTTAGTGTTAGCCATGAACCAAAATATTTTATTGGTTCATGCTCTTTCCTAGTCCTTTTTTTTTGTTTTGTTTTGTTTTGTTTTGAGACAGAGTCTTTTTCTGTCACCCAGGCTGGAGTGTTGTGGTGTGATCTTGACTCACTGCAACCTCCGCCTCCCACGTTCAAGCGATTCTCCTGTCTCAGCCTCCCGAGCAGCTAGAATTACAGGCATGTGCCACCACACCTGGCTAATTGTTGTATTTTTAGTAGAGACAGGGTTTCACCATGTTGGTCAGGCTGGTCTCGAACAGGAGATCACTTCAAGTGATCCGTCCACCTCAGCCTCCCAAAGTGCTGGGACTCCAGGCCTGAGCTACTGTGTCCAGCCCAAATTTTTATCTCTTAAAGCCCAAAGATGGACATTATCATTGCCAGCTCTAAATTTTTAGTTCTTCAAATCCTAAAACTAAGATCCAAACCTTTATCAAGAAAGTTTAACAAGGTTGGGCATGATGGCTGTCACCTGCAATCCCAGCAATTTGCGAGGGTGAGGTCTGTGGATCACTTGAGGTCAGGGGTTCAAGACCAGCCTGGCCAACATAGTGAAAGCCCTTTCTCTACCAAAAATACAAAAATTAGCTGGGCATGGTGGCATGCACTTGTAATCCCACATATGCTGGAGGCTGAGACCTGAGAATTGCTTGAAGCTGAAAGGTGGAAGCTACCAACAAGAAATAAATAGTACAAAGGTCTTTAGGTCAGATGAAAGACATATTCATCTATTTTGAATCTTTCTCCCTTTCTTAATTATAATTACTGGCTGGGCGCAGTGGCTCATGCCTGTAATCCCAGAACTTTGGGAGGCTGAGGCAGGAGGATCACCTGAGGTCAGGATTTTGAGAAGAGCCTGGCCAACATGGAGAAAACCTGTGTCTACTAAAAATACAAAAATATTAGCCGAGCATGGTGGCAGATGCCTGTAATCCCAGCTACTCGGGAGGCTGCGGCAGGAGAATCGCTTGAACCCGGTAGGCAGAGTTTGCAGTGAGCCGAGATTGTGCCACTGGACTCCAGTCTGAGTGACAGAATGAGACTCCATCTCAAAAAATATATATATATATATAATTACTTTTTCCCTTCCCTGAGCTTTCGCTTTGCTCACTCAAAACTTTTTAATACGGAGTTTCCCTCTTGTTGCCCAGGCTGGAGTGTAGGGGGGTGATCTCAGCTCACTGCAACCTCCACCTCCCGGGTTCAAGCGATTATCCTGCTTCAGCCTCCTGAGTAGCTGGGATTACAGGTGCCGACCACCGGCCCGGCTAATTTTTGTATATTTAGTAGAGACGGGGTTTCACCATATCGGCCAGCCTAGTCTCGAACTCTTGACCTCAGGTGATCCTCCTGGCTACCTCAAAAAGCAACTTGATAGGCCGGGCGCCGTGACTCAGGCTCGTAATCCCAGCACTTTGGGAGGCGGAGGCCGTCGGATCACAAGGTCAGAAGATGGAGACCATCCTGCCTAACACGGTGAAATCCCGTCTCTACCAAAAATAGAAAAATAAGCCAGGGTGCAGGCGCCTGTAGTCCTGGTTCCCCGGGAGGCTGAGGCAGGGGAATCGCTTGAACCCGGGAGGCGGAGGTTGCAGTGAGCGGAGATCGCGCCACTGCACTCCAGCTTGAGTGACAGAGCAAATCACCGTCTCAAAAAAAAAAAAAAAAAAAAAGCAACTTGATAAATCCACAGTCTCGGTATATTTAAAAAATTCTCTTAAATTTAGTATACTTTTTTTTTTTTTGGGGGGGGGACGGAGTTTCACTCTTGTTACCCAGGCTGGAGTGCAATGGCGCGATCTCGGCTC